CAATAAATACTAAGGGAAGTAATATGGTAAGACTGGTCCTTCAAATAATTTGACTTGACAGTTCAAAAAGAAAGAAAAAAAAAACAGTTATTTGAGGAAATTATACAAATAATTACCAATATGAATAACAAAATGAGAAATAGTCACATCTGTGTATTCTAAATCAGACTACTTGTGATGAGATTGATTAGCTGAAGGGTTTTTGCACCAGATGTTTGAAATTACATCTGTCTTGCTGAGTCACGGTAGTAGCAGCATTACAAATTATAACATAAAAAAAAAACACTTTTATCAGTACTGATCAAGAGATTCACAACTCATATGCTCTGTTTAACTGAATGACTGACTATAGTGCTCAGCTCAGATTTGTTTGCAGATAATCAGGCTCCCTGGTTTTTATTATTTTGAACTTTAAGTTGCCGTGTTGCTGTGGTCTGATTTTGCCACTTTGATAAATATCCATGTTGTATATTTGCATGTATGAGTCACCTTCACTTTTGCCTGTGCAGCAATTTTCTCCAGCAGTAGCTGGTGTTGATCACACTGCGGAGACGCTGCTGCCTCCTCTGTCAGCTTCTCTCTGTAGAACTTATTTAAAACATCTGCACTGCATTGACGACATAGTGGAAAATAGCTTGGTTGGCTTTAATGCATTAATGTCACCCTTTAATGCATTAATGCCCTTGAATGGCTTTAAAACATTATTCAATATTTTAATGCAGTAATTGCAATAATTGTAATGTTTGTTTTTTCTTATCATTAATTCTACTAATATTGATTTTAATACATTGTATTTCTTTTAAAGGAATGGGTCATCTTCATTTGTTTTCCACAGAAGAAAGCAAGTCATGGGTTTTGAACGTCACGAGGGTGAGTAAATTAATACATTTTTGAGGGAACTATCTCTTTGAATATTAATTAAAACTTTTAATTAATAAAACATGTTTAGGTTTAAAAAGAGGCAGGAATAAAATGCTTTGTTTCTTTGTTTTTATTTTTTTTAAAAACCACACAAACAATTAGTGATGCAGCTCTTAGTTATGGTGCAGTGCAAGCATACAGTATGTATTTAAAGTAGGCCAGAGTCAGACCTTCAGCGAGACACTAAACAGAGGCATGCATGCATGATGAAAAAAACGAGCAAAAAACTGGTCCCCAAACCATTCCAACCAACCTCACTGGACTGCTGTTATTGTTGATGCCAACATAAATGTTAAGTTTGTATGATCTTGATGTAGAAATGAAATCTTGAATAAAACATCAAGGCAGTACAATCATGGTTGCATCATGTGATAAAATTCACCTTCAGTATAATATCAGGCTTCTGACAGTTCAAAATGATATTTAATGACCCAGTTATTACATCAGTACTTATGAATACATGTAAACAAGTAACTAGGAAATTGTTGTCTAATTCTAATAGAAGATAATCAGGGATTTAGAGTCATGTTTCCTGGCAACTCAACCTATGAATGGCAACCTCTAAAGTGCTAGCCATAAAATCATTGTGCCGCAGTCTGGATTTCACAAGCTGGCTTAATGTTAACTGCTGTGCAGCAAATCAAATTATGAGCTTAATGGTTTTATTATATCCTTTAGGAGACTTTTTAACATTTTGTGGTTGCCTGATGTCGCTCACATTATGCAAATATCTAATGCAAAACATGGTGGTAAAAATACAATGTACATGTGTACGTGAACAAAGTAACTGAGTGTCACTGAATACATGATTATCATTGAATACATAGCAAACAGTTAACAGTTATGATTACACAATATGTAAATCTCAGTTTTGGTTCATAATTCAATAAAGCATTACTGAATTAAACGTTAAAATGAACACATTCCCTTACAATGAATTTGAGGTCAAAATGGACCAAAATTATAGAGGTAACACAGCAATCCTTCATGGTGCATTTTTATATAACAAGAAGCAATATAACTTGATTTATTAAATACTTATTGGAGTACAATATGATGTGGAAGTGTAACATAACACCTATGTCAGTTAAACAAATAAATAAATAAATAAATAAAATAAGCCAGTCATAAGGGGATTGAGTGAGTTAAAGTGTGAGTAAACAGAAGCCAGTGTGGGTGTCGGCTTTGCCCAGCAGAGGGTGAGGCTTCCTGGGCTCAAAATCACTGTGGCTCCAGGCTTTGGGCCTGTGCAGCATGAATGCAGTGTTACAGCATGCACACTAAGTAATCATACATGGTGAAGTAAAATAAGTGGTGAACTACTTTACTCCTATGGTCTGTAGACAAATACTGTATATCTTGTATAAGGTTTTATGCCAGAACTTAGAAGAACAATTTGTAAATGAGCCTACATCTCTATGATATTGTCTTGCTTCAATTTAAATATACAGAATGTTTAAATTAGACATATACTGCTACTTTTCGACATCATTCAAGATTACAATATACATATAATATATATTTTTATATATTTATTTTTTAATCTAACTATTTAGAACTATTTAATACTCACGTTTCCTGACCATAACACAAAAAATGCTGTAATAATATTGAGGCTATTCTTTGAAATTGTTCGATTTAGCAGATGTTATGTAGGGGACCTGCCCCTTCCCTACATAATCTACTACACAGTCTGCAGTCTATTACTGAAAGTTCACAATCACTGTTTCACTATCAAAATGAATTCCAATCACATGAAAAAAAGCTTGTTTTGGTTCTCTTTTTTTTCCAATTACTTGAAATCAAAGTTTCTTATTTCCTCTGTATACATACAAATGTGATATATGTCATACATAATTGATTACTTTTTAATCTTTCCATTAAATGCACATTCATTAATCCAGTATCTTTCATTTGCTTGTTACTCAATTTAAAACCATTTTAGCCTCTTTCAGAACAGATTATATGATGGAAAAAAAATGATTGACCTCATAATCAAATTTCACACATTCCCAATAACACAACACAACACAACATACATGTCAAACACAATCGATAATATTAACAATCAAATTTCTGTATCAGCTGTTTTTTGGCTTTTATCTATATATAGATCATGTCTAACTTGCCACATAATCATTGCACCTGAAATTATGATGTTTATGTGTGAAAGCAATGTTTTGGAAATGGCATTTTCCATAAATAGGGTACAAAATAGCTGAAACTCAATTTTTTTCTTCAGGGTTGCAAATTAGAGCAAATTCAGCATAAATTAAGCTGTCACTCAGTATGATATTTGTTTGATATTTTGTCTATTCATAATTGAGAAAATAGAGATGATTTACATCCAAACTAGCTTATTTTTTGGGCCTCACAATTTTTTATTTGTTTGTTTGTTTATTTATTTACTTGTTTGGTAATGGGGGAAATAAGTTTTAATAAGGTTAATAAAGAAATTAAGAATTCACTCACTTTTACTTTTCATCTTTTAAAATGATGATGCTCTTCTGTGATTTTAATTGTTAGATAGTCATGAAGACCAAGTCCTCTCAGGTGGAAGTCAAAATCACCATTAACAAACCGACAAAAAAAAAAAAGTCACTTTCATGCTAAGTTAGTTTCATGTTAGATAACAAATATGCAATATCTCATAGGTCAAAACAAAGACAACATAGGATTAATGCCTCTAAGGCTTTTAAAAAATGTCATGGAACAGCAAAATATACCCTATTTGTGGAATGTGCCATATGCTTGTGCAAATGAATAATTTGTTTTGTGCAAATTATGTGTATCATGCATAAGAAAATTGTCATGCAATGATTGTACATGTTTTGGAGGTGTGCTATGTGCTGTAAACTAGCGAATTATAGATTTTGAACACGGATGTACACTGTAAAATCCAATAGTTTACCTTACTTAGATTTAGTTAGTTATCTTTACTTAGTTGTTATACTTACTAGGTTTTATTAAGTTACAGCTACTTTCAAGGCAAATAAAACAATTTACTTACTGTTTTGAGTGACACTTACTTAAAATATTCAAGTAGCCACAAAGGAACCAATGACATTAATAAACCAATGAGAGGCAGCAGTGCACTAATATGTTGCTAATGTGCAACATAACAACAGAAGAAGAAGAAAAGAAAAAGAGTCTTAATAGACTTTTCACCCATTTCCTCCATGTCTGCAGTTATCTTTCACTAGTTGCATTCACTCGTTTCCCAAAGTCATCTTGAATGTTGAATTCTCAATACAACTGAAATATCTGAGAGAACATCACATAAGCTAACTTCATAAATTGATGTTGATTTTCCTAAAATGTGTTTTTTTTTTTTTTTTACTCACCATTATAGTGATTAACGTTCCCTTTGGTTGGGCACTTTGAACTTGGTTTAAGTTACTATAATTATCTTCCTGTTAATTCAGTAATGCATTATGAAGTCAGAGTTATTTGATTTCAAAGGAAGAAAAGTAATAAATAGGTTGCTTTTAGAAAGTGACCTATTTTCTAATTAAAGCGTTAGTGCATTTATTGTGTGTGTTCATTAATGAACTTTATCAAATTTATTTTTTCTTAAAGATCCTGAGATGCTTTTCTTTGGGTTTATATAATCCTTAAATAGTGTGTGGTAATACGCTTAAGTCACAGACAGACTTAAACATTCAGCACGTGAACCTCAACAATGGTAACAATTAAATTTCATTTATTTTCATTACTTGTAACAATAACCATTTTATTTGCTCTTTTTGTTGTGCTGCTACTGACACAAGACAGCAAATAAAATTGTCAAATAAAATCAATAACTGTAAAACAGCAACTGTATAATTTATTCATACCGCAATGCACTCTGGGAGTCAGTGAGTAGCTATACTAAGTCATGAGTAAACCTAAATGAAAGGATCAAGTACCCCCTACAGTTCTTTTTTAGTTACTAGAACTCTCGTGTAAGTAAACTATACTAACTAAGCATCTGCCAGTACAACATACTATTCCTATTTCACTTTACTTAGTTTTTTCAAGGCAATCGGTTTGCATGCTTTTTTTAAGTAAGCTCAACTAATTAGATTTTACAGTGTATAGTCACGGTCCTGCCTAATAGTCTGCTGTAAAAACAGGATAAACTTTTAGACCCAACAGGAGCAAACTGGCACAATGAGAAGGCACACACAAATACACACATTATGTTTCTACATCCACTTGAGAGGTTGTTGAGGGCAGTGATTTCTCAAGAAACTCTTAAAACGTATAAACACCATAAGGGTAAAAACACTTTGGCAGTTGTAAGAGGACCTTGTATAATTTTAAATTCATCTCGTTAGAAAATTTTCATCAGAAATACTGGATGGCTGATATTAATAGTGCTAATAGTGGCAGTAGTTGAAGAAAAAAAAAAGACATTACTTGACTTTGAAAAACAGGTGGTCTAAACGAAGAGTTCTGAAGGAAGTTATCAACTTAACCTGTTGTATTGAGTGGAAGAAGCAGTTTGAAACCCTTTGTGGGGTAATTTCTCACTGGTAACTGGACACCATGGCACTGTGGTGGAGATCTTCCTTTATGACATGTTTGACTGCTACACGAGAAAACCGAGGAATGTTGAATAAGACAGTTATAGGATGAAGAGTCAAACAAGTTTTACATATCTTCAGGCAGGCTTAAATTTCTGAAAGGTAAAAAGAAAGACAATGAAAAAAAATGTAAGAATGTTGAATCAGCATGTTGAATATTAACATTGATTTATTTATTTTTTTTGTATGATTTCCATATGTTGTTATTTTGTAGGAAAATACCATTAGATTTGGCAAATATGATTAATTTTGATCAGTTTTTTTTTCAATTTAAATTTTTAATTTACATTTAATATTTTTTTATTTTTATGAAGACTGATTCATTTGCCAGAACGTCTCGGTTTATGTATGTAACCCTCGTTCCCTGAAGGAGGGAACGGAGACTAAAGTTTACCACTTAGAGGTAAACTAAATGAGCCAATGCACATTGACATGCGATAATTGCATCCAGCTGCCGCTGACCACAGCTTGAGCATAAAAAGGCAGCCGGTGCAACGCATACCAGGTTTTCGCTGAGGAGCCAAGCCGGTAACTCGGCCGCTCAGCGGTGGTACAGCAGCCGTGGCGACGGGACGTGATGTCTCCATTCCCTCCTTCAGGGAACGAGGGTTACATACGTGACTGAGACATTCCCTTTCAGTTGGTCACTACGAGTCACGTCGTGACCAACGAATTGGGATCCCTACCAAAGCGCCATGGATGCTGCCCCTTCCAGTGTCCTGTGCAAGCCTCCTGCGCCCCTTTTTGTTGTAGGCCGGGGCTCGCAACAAGACTAGTCACCGTTATCGTAGCACTACCCACTCAGTGAGATTGGATAACACTGGGAAAAAATGCGGAAGCCCTATCCTTCCCGAAGGAGGTTTCGGAAGCAGTTACACATATGAACAACCATTTAGGTGCATATGGAAGATTAGAGGTGATTGTAACCCTCTTGGAAATGGCAGAAGTGTGCCGGGGGAAACACAGGCTCTGAGGCTATACCGTGGACGTTACACATATGGGATCCATTTAGGTCTCTACATATGGAACCCAGCCCTCTACCGGTTCTCACAGATTCATC